GGGAGCCAGCAGCACAAGGGGCTGTTTGGGCTCCCCCGGGGTGGGAGGGAAAAGGAGGGTGGTGACGTACACGGCTCCGCCCCCTGGCCGTGTATGTCACTGCTCCACCCTTCTCCCTCCCGGCAGCCCGGCTGAGCAGGCAGCACTCAGCCAAGTGCCACGGTGGGGGGGAAGGGGAAAGGCTGTTTGGGCTCCACCGGGATGGGAGGGGAAGGGAGAGTGGTGATGTACATGGCCCCAGCCCCAGCCGTGTACGTCACCGCCCCGCTCCCCTCCCTTGCGGCAGCCCAGCTGAGCAGGCATCACTCAGCCAAGTGCCACGGCGGGAGGGAAGGGGAAGGGAAGGAGAAGGGGAAGAGGGGCGGGGAGAGAGAGGCAGGAGGAGGAGGAGAAGAGAAAGGGAGAGTGAGAGGCAGGAGGAAGAGAAGAGAAAAAAAGAGAGGGAGAGAGAGGCAGGAGGCAGAGGAGAGCTGAGAGAGGGGGGGAGGCAGTAGGAAGAGAGAGACAGAGCGAGAGAGCTCAGGAGAGAAGACCTGAAAATCCCGTCTTATGACAGGCTAATTGGCTAGTTCCAAAATAATGCTGCTGTGTAGACATAGCCTATCTGAGCAAGGGGTCCCACTTTTAATAGTCCTAACTCAGAGATGCAAGATGCCAACAAAGGCTGAGCAAACTGCTTTCCAACACTCGTAACCACTAGCATTTTAAAGAAAGAGAAACTGGACATGAAGAATGCATGTCCGAATGTAATGCTAACTACCATTTGGACAAAGGTCCATGCTTCTGAAGTCAATTCCCCAAATATAAAATATCAGCAACACTTACAGGGATAACCTGACTACTTATGAGAGAAGGGTAAAATGCATTCCCTTCCACAGTGGAGGGAACTTTCTGAGCTTTGAGTTCCATTGTCCCCATTGGTTTAAGGAAGGGGGTTGTCTGAGGAGTCGGCCACATAACAGGTGCTTGACTGAGAAGTTGTGCAGGAAATTGTGTGGTAGGAGACTCTACTGGCCAGAGTACAGGTGACCCTTGACTTATGACTCCCCACATTTATGATAATTTTTTTCATGAGAGATAGCTCCTAAAACCCTCCAATTTACATCCGCAGCTCATATTTACGTGGCACACGACGCAGACTCCACGTGTCATCCCAAAACAGGAAACACACAAGGTCAGTCACACGCGCCAATCTGCAGCTGTTGCTTGAACTGCGCATAGGTCTTCACTTTTTAGTTATTTTTGTGCATTATTTGAACAATTTAGTTTAGTTTTCCTCCATTTCTGTAGTTAATTTTGGTATTTTTAGGGTATGAAATGGATTTCCAGGAACAGAACTGCCATTTATAACATTGCACCTATGGGAAATAAGGGTTCGACTTATGATGACTTGACTTATGACAGTTCTCAGGAACCTATTAGGTCATAAGTGCAGGGGTCACCTGTACGTGCTATTAGTATGTTGCATGGGCTAGTAGGGACAACAGAAAGAAACTAGAAGTGCAAAGTCAAATAAGCTGCTGTGGGAGAGAGTGATTGAAAAATCAAGTGGACATCAAGGTCCAATCAAAATCAAGAAGGTCCAATATAGTGGAGAAGTAGAAAGATGACTGTCAGCTGGGAAGGGTATGGAGAGAGGGAAAGGAAAAAAAGATTGAATCAAGTATTTGAAAAAAGTCTGAAAAAGAGGAGAAAATGAGAGAGAAGGGACTGTGAAGGCAGAGAAGAGGGATCCTGAAAAGTAAATGCAAATGGCAAAGGGCCTTGCCAGGCATGCTTGTCAGATCAACCCAGTCCAGGGGAATCTCATTCTGAAGATCTGAAACATTTGGTACCCGAAGATATAATGCACGTGATTTTATTTGATTAGCAAAACAAGTGCAGCATTCTGAGCACATCCAGTTTAAGAAAGTTGCTGTAAGAGGAAATTTATTCAAAGTCTGTGCAGTAGGTTGATCTTCGTCTAATGTTCTGTAGATTTGGTGCAATGTGAAATTTCCTGAATCCTTCCATCCCTAGCACCGCTAGCTAAAATTGATGTGATAACCCATAAAGCAACAACACCTAGTAGGGAACTTGATCCAACTTTGTTATGGAAATGTGAATAAACAAACAGTGAGACAGATATCTTTGCACATGACGTTGCTCTGCGTATCAAAACACAAAGGATGTCTTTAAGTGTGCTTACCCGTGTACTCAGCAGGGCAGATGCAGTCATATTTGCCTATCTGGTTCAGGCAGGTAGCCCCATTCAAGCAGGGGTCTGAAACACATTCGTTCACTTCTATGTTACAGTGCTTGCCTTGATAACCGGGGACACAGTAGCAAGAGTACCCATCAATTCCTTCCCTGCACAATGCTCCATTATGGCAGGGATTAGAAGTGCACACATTGAAATAGGTCTCACACAGATTGCCCGTGTATCCTGTGCTACAAACACAGATCGGGCCAGCCAGACCCTGCTGACAAGTGCCTCCATTTCTACAAGGGCTTGTGTCACAGAGGCTGATGGGAAATTCACAGGTAGTTCCACTGTACCCAGTTGGGCATTCACAAGTAAAGCTGAGGTTTCCTGCCATGCTTAAACAGGTAGCATTTTGAAGACAAGGGTTTGAGGAGCAAGGATCGTCAGTTTTATTGCAGTCTTCCTCCAAAATGTCAATTGTATCCACACAACGGCAGGAGTTGTCCTTAGTTGCAGCATCACACGTAGAGTTCTTTTGGCAAGACTTTGACAGGCACCTGGAATCATTTCGTACGCTAAGTGACTCTAGGAAGAAACACAAACATTAACTGAGAAACTTGTAGAGCAGCTTAAAGAAATTAGAGACAGCTACAGATTTTAGTATAATTTTGTCTTAAAATCAACCTCTCTTGTAATTCTCACTGAAAAGAAAATAGAGTTGGTTGCTTGAAGTGGGGTAGGAGGTGGCTGTGAATTAATTAATACAGAACAACAACAACACAACAACACAACAGAACCACATCATGAACAGAGTATAATTTCCTGTTACCCTTGTTTTCCAAAGACGATTGGGAGTGACAGCAGGATTTGAAAACTTACCACCTAGGACCAATAATAAAATGGTGACCAATCATCAGTGAACATTAGCACCATCAGCCAGTGGTTTAGAATGCATAGTGACATGGAAGAACGGCCATACTGGGTCAAACCAAAGATCTATTTTAGCTCAGTATCCTTTTTTCTGAGAGTGGCCAATGCCAGGTACTTCAGAGGAAGTGAACAGAACAGGCAACCATCAAGTGGACCATCTTCAAGGACCCCAACCTGTTTTTAATTAACTGATACACAAAGAGATCCTTTCATTCACCACTGGAGAAGGGAGACATGGCAACTATTTAACTGAGCATCAGTTCAGGTCAAGAAATGAAGAATACTTTATCCCATTGAAACAGAGCAAGGAATTTAGGTAAACTGAAATTTAACTGAACTACCTGGCTTAATACACTCTTCTTACTGAGTGCCATGGGAACGTTCTTGTTCCTTAATAGTTAGGACTGAGAAGACTGTGTCTCTTCCAAAAGGAAGCAGCTCATTGCCTGTTATCACAAGGCATTATTTCAGAGGAAAGAATCCCTTCAAGTGCAACTTTCTGCAGCACCTCCAAGTTCTCTCACTCAGGTTTGACCCAACTAACCCAGCTTAGTTTGTAAGTTGTGATGGTATCACTAGAGAGGTGTCAATAGGTGCAGAGTTATTGCTGCAGGATGTTTGTTCCCCAGGTGGCCCTAGTTCAACAAAGCATTTAAGTGCATGTGTACGTTCATCACTAGTCAGCAAAGCACGTAAGCCTGCCCCTATGTGCTTTGTTGAACAGAGCTGGACTGCTGACCCAGAGTGTGGGGAAGCAATTCTGTGATAGCCTTTTACTAGGATGCCAGTTGGCAATCCTAACACAGACTTTAGACAATAATGGATCAAAGGTCACAGCCAGTCATGGCCAATGAGGAGAAACAGTGAAGAGAGGTGGTTAGATATTGACACACACAGCACATGGAAGAAAATTGAAGATACAGAGTTATAAGATATAGATATAGAATGGTATTCAAAGCTTAACACATGTATAGCGTTGAAACTGTTACTGATCAGACTGAGACATTTGACTTGCAATATTATGATTACAATTTTATCCACTGCAACTTTTTTTGCAACCAATTGCCACCATGATATGAAACAATACTGTAATGTCTAGTCAATGTTCGAATGACACAGAACAAAAATAGCTCCCCTGGAACTGTGCCTCACTCTGGAGTTAGTAAAGCTGTGTTTAAAAAAAAAAAAAAAAAAAAAAAGTATACCACCAGAGGGGAAAATCCATGTTTATACAACAGAAAAAAGATGCTGTCACATCTTGGCTGAGAAGCTACTAAATAAAGCTGATTGGACCCTTCAGAAAGAGACTAATGAATCAAGAGACAAAAAAGATGCCTATGTGCTAGAGAATGCATATTGTATTAATCTGTGTTGCTGTCCTGGTCTGAATACATCATAGGAGCCTTTTTTGGGGTATATATTTGTTGTATTGTATCTACTTGATAATGGATGGTGGAATGCAATAATATGCTGTCCATTGTATATGGGTGAGCTGACCCTTTAAAGGGAATCAGGCTCAGCTGTCACCTCTCTCTAATTTCTTTGTCAGCCCTGGAATGACAGTCTACATATCTATCTGGGTTACGTCAGAGCAACATAAAGGGCCCTATGGGTTCACTAAGAACTGGGCACTTTATTTCTCCCACAGGCTTTGCTTTGGGTTTTAGTTGTATAGTCCCAAGGAATATGTGGTCGCCTCTAGATTGGCATTGGAAAAGGTTTAGAAAAGGGCAACAAAAATTATTAGGGGTTTGGAATGGGTCCCATATGAAGAGAGATTAAAAAGACTTGGACTTTTCAGCTTAGAAAAGACAAGACAAAGGGGGGATATGATAGAGGTCTATAAAATCATGACTGGTGTGGAAAAAGTGAATAAGGAAAAGTGATTTACTTATTCTCACAATATAAGAATTAGGGGTCACCAAGTGAAATTAATAGACAGCAGGTTTAAAAAAAACACAAGTTTTTCTTCACTCAGTGCACAGTCAACCTGTGGAACTCCTTGCCAGAAGATGCGGTGAAGACTAGAACTTTAACAGGGTTCAAAAAAGAGCTAGATAGATTCATGGAGGTTAGTTCCATCAATGTCTATGAGCCAGGATGGGTAGGAATGGTATCCCCAGCCTCTGTTTCTCTGGAGGTGGGTGACAGGGGAGGGATCACGTGAGGATTACCTGTTGTGATCCCTCCCTCTGGGGCATCCAGTACTGGCCACTTTCAGCAGACAGAATACTGGATAGAGATGCAGTCATTCCCTTCAGATGGCTTTGCAGACCAGGATAAAGAATTTGCATTTCAGCAGACTGGAAGAATCTATACACAATGGTCCGTTCTTGGCAGTCTCTCCTGTTAAAAAGGTAGGCAGATGGATTCTTACCAAGCAGTCTCATCTGCCCTGCCCCCATCCTTCTTCTAGTAGTGATTCTTGGGGCAGCACAGACCTGAAGGGGCCCTCTTCTAGTCCTTACTAGGGATGTAAAAAAATGTCTACAAATATTAACCATTTAACCAATCAAAATGTTATCAGTTACACAGTTAACCACAGGGCTGCCAGCTCTTGGCCTGCGGCCCATAGCACAGTATGGTAGGCCTGGCAGGCCTGCAGCAGCCCTACACCTCTGGCGTGCCACGAGTAGGGGGCTGCTTCAGCTAGACCAGGTTCTGGTTAACCAGTTACCCATTTACATACCTAGCCTCTACACAGAGTATATTCCATGCTCTGGCCCCTGGTGCATTGTCCATATTGTATAATTACTTCCTTTCCCGTTTCAATCTGACACACAGCAGTGTTCCTGCTCTACAAGCTAGACTGGCAATTTGCTCTCAATAAGAAGCCCCATGTACCCATGATGCCCCAGTAGCACAGCAGGGACCAGGCTGTGATGCAAACGATGGGATTTTTGAAAGCACAACTCTCAAGGCTCCTGAAGTGCTTTTGAAAATCCACCCTCTGAATTACAGTCTTGTCCTGGTTCCTGCCATACCCATCTTCTTCCACGAGGGAAATAAGTTGTGTACAGTCCTCTTCCTGATGTGGATCACTTCCCCTCTACTCCCCGCCCACACAAGCTCAGGGGTGCTGGTGAGTATATATGGGGCAGGAGAGAATAGGTTCAAAGGTCTTCTTACTCCTGTCCCCACCCACCTGAACACGATGTGACCTATGGTGTGAGTATCTCAGGCCCTGGAGAAAGGGACATGGGTGCATTGGATGCTCGGGTTGAGTGCTAAATGGCACTATCAGGAGAATAATACCTCAATGAACATAGAGGGAAAGGAGAGCAGGGCAACTGAAGAAACCTTTTAATGTTCTTGGGAGCTAGATTTTGGCAGCCTTATCTAAGAGAGAACTTCTGAGTCTTCACATGTTCCAAACTAAGCACTGCAGAGAATGAGCTTTTTGCATTCTCAACCAATTAAGATCACTTGATTAGTGACTTGCTCTGACAGAGATTCTTAAAATTAATGTTTAAGATTAGAAAAATTCAAACAAAGCACTGATCATTTTAAATCTAGACTGATTGACACATGAAGTGATTATCTGAGTCTCTTTAAAACATAACCACATTAATCTAATTACTAGAGAAATTAGTGCCAAACCTTTTACCCCATGGTTAAAGGCCTTTTGATGTAAGTGAGAAGCTTGGCAGTACACTTCATAAAGATGGGATTTATGGATACTCTGGGTTTTCTACACTAAATTCTTTGCAGCAAAGCTTGCCACCTACTGGTTATCACCCATACTACCAGAAATTGTGAAAATCTGCAATATTAATGAGACAATTAGAAGAAACTAGCTATATTTAAGAAACTTTAGAAATAAAGGGGACAGGTCTTCACCTGTATAAGTGTAAGCTCATTGAGGTTAACAGGGTTGCATTTGTGTAGCTGAGAGCATAAGACCCATCAACACTGACAAACGTACCATGTTCTCTTCTTAGAGATTTCTGCCACAGTGGCCAGTATTCACCAGTGCAATGTTGCAACACAATGTCATTTATCAGACTATGAATGCATAGTCCTGTGCATCTGAGAGCCAAATCTGACCAAGGTTAAATCAATGGAACAACACCAAAGAGATGAAGAATCTAGGGTGGGATTTTCAGAAGTGACTTGTCAGGCATTCCATGGACCTGCAATAGGATTTGTGCTTCTAGGGTCCTTAGGTGCACAAGAAGTGACTTGTCAGGCATTCCATGGACCTGAAATAGGATTTCTGCTCCTAGGGTCCTTAGGTGCACAAGTAAATCCCACATTTGATACTTTTGCTGTAGGGATCAGTTTCTTCTAACATCTGGCCTATTCAGAGTTAAAGGGTTCATGGGTATGGGGAATTATTAAGCATATAAGTTATATATTTTAAAAGTGAAAAATAAACAGACACAATTGGGTAAATGATTCCCTCAGTTCTGCTTCTATTTAGGTCTTAATAACAATTCTTATCTCCTCAAAATGAATGACTGCAAGCTCAAAGGGGAAACATTTCTGCCCCCCAATAAGATGAATTACTCATCCACTTTGTTCACAAAACACATGCTGATTTCTTCCTTAATCTTCACCCAGCATCTCCTGTGATTATGGGTAAGGACTTATCTGAACCCAGGCTCCTTTGTTCCCTAATCAGCTAGGCTCCAATCCCAGCACTGACTCACTTG